ATAAATATGAGAAAATAACAGAAAATGTCAAATGTACCTGGGAAAATTTTTAAAGGCAGCTTTCAAACATGGGCAGGGAGTTAGTATTGTGGCTGTCGGGTGGCAACTGATTCCATTGCTGAGGGGCAGAGTAAGAGAAAGCTCTGCCCCCCATAATGATGACATGAACATAAGGAACACTATAGTCATATAGAGAGTGTAGAGAAGAGAGTTCCTATAGTAGAGATAAGGGGCGGCCGAGCTATGAATAAGGATGGAAGTGGAGTGGGGACTATGGAAATGATGGAGGTGGTTTTTAAAGCAAGGCTGCATTTTGTATCACATGTAGCTTGGTCCTGGACACTCTGGGGGTTTTACCATACAAACAGGAGAAGCGGAGCAAGTGAAGTTACAACATGCAGTAATTCATAAATGTTTTATATCAGGTTGGGTCCGGATTAGCCCGCAAGTGGGTCCAGATCTGGACCCTAGTCTTCTAATCCGTGACATCTGCACTATAGGGTATAAAGCCCTGATAAAATAAAACCCTGAGAAAAGGAATTTGTAAAGGTAAATTGTCTGCACCATCAACACCAAGTCAAATTCCTTGTAAGTGCAAACCTACTCGGAAATAAACTTTATTTTGAAATGTGTGTGGTTCTGAAGTTGATTTGTCTTTTGCTGCCTTGAAATAACTTTACCAATTTAAGGTGGAAAAAATATCCCTGTTGTCTGATCTTTATGTTGGCTGATCAGGCAAGATGCTGCATTAAATGCCTCAGGCAATGCTGTGATTCACCATGCGGTCATTAGAACTATTCTGAGTTTCTCTGAACTTTGTTTTTACTGGCTTAGATTTCCACATAGGCAGAGCGATCTTGCAGTTGGAATAAAGTTAATTATCAGTAGTGAAGGAAATGTTCTCGGTTTTAGACCAGGTGGAATATTGCAATTGGGAAAAATGTTTGTTTTATCTGTTTTAAGTTGAAGAAAGCTTGTTATGGAGTTGATAGAAAGGCATTTTAGGGCACTGGATTATAATATGCCTTTTATAGAGTTTGATAATTTTACTATTAATATGTTTGCAAATTTAAGCATCAGTAGACCAGCTTCATCAATGAACCGTACACATCCCTCTTTCTGTTGCTAGTTCATCATTATTCCATCTCTGGGCCGCTTTTGATAAGTACTGACCACTTGCAGATGAGGAAAACTCAACATGAGCACCAATTTTGAGACGTTATAAATTATTACATTTGTCTATTATGATTTGTCCCTTCATCAAACTCCTCAACTTATTTTTTCCTACTTGTAATTGTCATGATTTTATTCAAAGATCTGACCCACATGCAGAAAACCAAACAGAGAGACCAGGGGAAAGTTTAACAGGTTTATTGAGAACTGGTAGAGATGGGTCCAGAGCTGCTCTGAACACTGGCGAATCGGGACTGAAAAGTGAATGGGAAGTTCCTGTGGTTAGTTCAGGCTCAGTGGGAAATTTGAGCTTCGATTTACAAAAGGGAATAAAGGCAACAGGTCTCAAGTTTCCAGAAAAGGTGTCTTTCTCTGAATCCAGTAGGTGTGGGTTGTTCCAGTAATTGACTTGGAGGAGCTGACGGCCACTTAGATTTCCTTTGGTACGTGAACGATTTCTTGTGGAGATTAATCCCCTGTTCAGTGTGAAGCTCAAACAATCCTTTGGGGAAGAGTAGATCCAAACCTCCTGTTTGAATCCCCAGCTCAGTTTGAAGCTCAGACGATCCTTCCTGGGGGAGAAAGTCCAAAACATCCAGTTTGCAGGATGACTTCCTGCCGAGAGGCAAAGACAAAAAACAACAAGGTTAAGGCCCTGTCCACACGAAGTCAAAACGAACACGAAACGCTAAGTTTGTCGTAAAGACGGAGAAGTAAAATAAATGTGATCGTCCACACGAATGCATGAAAACGCTGCAAAATGTATGCCAGGCCTGTAAGTGGCGCTGTGGTGCCAAAGCAAAAATAAGTGACGAAATGTTGGGCAGGCGCACTAATATTTATACATGGTTGCCCTTCGGGTCCATTTTCAAGTCAAATTCAGGTGCTGAACT